AACAGTAAAATCTAGATATACTTCTACTTGTAACAAATGGGTAGTTTGTGGAGCTATATTTTAATACACATTGCATTATATTTTACTTTTTTTTTTCTTTTGGCTTAAGAACGTATATGTCTCGGGGAGAGTTTTGTGTTGATTCATAGACATCTACCTTATTTTTAATGGCTTTATAGTACTTTACAGAGCAGCACATTTAAATTTCTGGCAGAAAAAAATGAACTACAGAACATATGTCTTCTTCCCTTACACAGCTGTCCTGACTGTTGAATTCCTTTTTGCCAGACAGCTTGCTCCTGCAGGGAGAGCCAGGGAAAGAAGGACCTCGTCCCCTCTCAAGGGAATTCCGGTACAGCAAGATCCCAAGCTTGGAGCTCAGATGACTATGCATGTGAGCCTCTGTGGTTCAACCATTCTCACCCTTCTCTTGGCCGTTCTGGCCAAATGCTGCCCCCAAGACTCACCCACACAAGGAAGGCCATTCCTGGGAGACTGTGTGTGGGCTGGCCCTGGATGGGGGCAACTGTGGGCCTTTTGTTCTATAGAGGGAGAAGGCACCCAAACAAAATCCCATTGTCTGACCAATGTCAGGGGCTTATGCCAACCCCACCCTCCACCTCAGCATATGATATCATTTTCTCAGCTCCTGGGACTTCTACCTTATAGCCTTCTTGGGAATCCCCTGTGTGATAAGGGCTCTAATCACCAGTGTAACTCATTGGATTTAATTTCTTTCTATTCCTCCTGTTATGATAACACCATTGCACTTCTCAGCTTTGCTCAATGGTTCTATGAGCAGGCCAGGTATCAAGACAGAACTTTCTCCTCCTTATATTCCCTCTCCCCATTTACCTCACTGTGTCCTAGTCCAATTCTTATCCTTCACATTTTCTCAGAGTAGTCCAATATTGTCCCAAACAGTATAAGTTCTGGGGTTCTGACTCAAGTTGCTGACAACTAGAACTTTGGACTCTGAACCGTCTCCCTCCCCTGCTGTTCCTCAACTCTCACTCCTGCTTACCTATTGCTCACCCATTTCAGTAGGATTCAGGGCATCTTGGAAAAGGGAAAGGCCTATTCAACTAACCCTGCTCTGACTTTCTCTTTCTCACCGAACATCAGCCAGAGGGCAAGGAAGGGGCTATTCAATTTATGGAACAAGACATCTTTAAAAGGACAAGATTCTAGGATCTCATAGAACCTCCCTTCACCTCCATTAGCTACATAATAGATAAGGAACAGAGTTACCAAGAAATAAAGACTTTGAGGAGCTGAGGCCACAAACCTTGGGTTCCTCCTTACATCATACTCCTTCACTTTTCTGGGAGGTTAAGGCTGAATACCTCTTGCACTACTAGGTGATGGGCAAGGAGCAGAACTCATGTTTGATGCTGTTCCTTCCGTGCTGTAACATCACTGCCTGTTGACTCTGAGCATGGCCCTGGAGGTATGACCCCGGCTTTCCACAGTGGTCCACCCATGCCTGCTTCTTTCACAGAACACCTTTCCTGCTTCTGCCACATGACTCCCCCCACCCCGAATGGAACAGTGCCTTCCTGCTCTTGCTCACTGGCTCTTGGCAATACGAGTGTGATGAAGCGCCTGAGATTCAGGGTTCCCAGACTGCAGTGGCTCCACTTACCCAAAGCAGAGAAGAGCAGCACAGCCAGAACAGGGCTGGAACTGGACCAGGGAGCCCCAGGGACCATAGCTGGGGCAGGGACCAGGGCCTGGCGCATCTGTGGGGTAGAGAGAGTGGGGGACAGGGAACTGAGCAGGAGGTTCCTGGAACCCCCTTAAAATCCCCTGGGGCTTCAGCATGAGGGGGCTGTCCTGAGCCAGTAACCAATTGCGGCCTGGCATGTGCAGTTGAGGGGTGGTGGGGAGTGTACAGAGTGCAGGAAGCAGAAGGGGCATTGTGTACTCTGGGTAGAGGGGTGGGGGGGTACATACCACCCCTACACAGAGGGCTTTGTGTCTGCTGGCCTCCCCCCCCCAGGCTGGAATGTTGGGGGGTGGTAAGGGAAAGGGACAGAAACAGGGACACAGACACACTTCTCTGAGGATACATAGGCAGGGAAATCTAAATCCAAAGCCCATGGAAAGGGATTCCTCCCTAGCCTCCTTGCCTGAGAGTGGCTCCCCCAGATCCCTAGCAGTTTTCTTCTTCAGAACTCTGAAAATAGGATATTCCCTGTTGTTTTGATTACGATGACCTGCATTACAGACTTTCTGAGATAACCAGGTCTGTTGGGATTTTTTTTTTTCATCTTCCTACATCCTGGGAGATTTTTCCAGGATAAAAAACTTTTCTCCACTGGAAAATTTTCAAAGAAGCCTCAGACCTTTCCCTCTTTGTGAGAAAGTCCTCCACACCTCATGCTGCAGTTTTAAGTCCATTTCAGCTTAGACCAAGGCAACAAAATTGTATTGCACACCAGCTATATGTCAGGTAGGGGAATGCAGGTAATAGAAGAATGAAAAATAAGTCCTTCCTGAGAGTTCAAAATCTAGTCTGGGGATGTGGAGGGGAGAGATCAGATGATGAAGCTATCAGCAATTAATTAAAATAAACCATGATGCTTGCCTTGATAATAAACGGAGTTGGGAGTACAACAAAGGGCAATCTCAAGAAGGTTAATTTATATAAGAGATCAAGAAAAAATAAATTCCATTTAATAAATGAAGTCCAGGGCTGGGGGGTAGTTCAGTGGTAGAGCATATGCCTAGTACGTGTAGGACACTGGCCTTCATCCTCAGTTCTGCAAAAGGTAACAAAACAAAAAATCCACTCATAAATGGAGTTCAGAGGAAGGGGTAGTCATATCTAGGAAGCAGTATTAAATATGGACCAACCTTAAAGGATGTGTGACACTTTGAAAAGGACTGGGTACAGAGGGTGATCAGACAGAACAGAAAAAGCAGGAACAAAGAGGTGAAGCAACATGATTGGGTGCATGTGGATATACGCATGTGTTCCATAGGTTTGAGAGGCACTGTGAAGACTTAGGGCAGATTTTATGCTATGATTTGAGAGAACTTGAAGGGTCATAGGAGGGAACAAGTCTGAACAGGATGGCTGAAGCCAATTCATGTAAGGCCTTAAATGACAGGTGAAAGAGAGTGGAGTTAATTCAGTACATTGTAAGCATCTTCTGAAGATTTTAGGATAGAGTTAGGAATGTCTCCATGACCAGAACTGGTTTTGTTTTTCTTCATACAGGGTCTCTCTATGTAGACCAGGAGCTTGGGCAAGTGCTCTGTCAGTGAGCTACATTCCCAGATCTTTCAGATGTGTTTATTTTGACACAATGGCTCACTAAATTGTCCAGATTGGCCTAGAATTTGCAATCCTCCTGTCTTAGCCTCCCAAGTAGCTGGGATTATCCAGCTTTGTATTTGTTTCTCCTGGACAATATCTAAGTCTGTATCTTTGAATTCCTTGTAGCACTTTTCACAGACTCTGGTAAGTCAGCAGTACAGATATGGTAAATAAAATTATATAGAGTGGCTGGGCATGGTGGCACACACTTATAGTCCCAGCACTCAGGAGGCTGAGGTAGGAGGACTGCTGTGAATTCAAGGTCAGCCTGAACAACATAGCTAGACCCTGTTTTAAAAAAACAAAAACAAAAAAGATGAAGAGAAAGAGATATTCATTGCATTTATTAATGGGAAGCTCCAGAGGGCCAAAAGATGATCAAGAACTGGAAGTTCCATAGCAGAAAATTGTACTGGAACAACTTTCTAATGATTAAATTGCTTAAAAATTTTTGTTTTTGTTGTTTTAAGTATTCATCATAAAATGTGTTCGCGCAGTCTTGAAGATGTGAGGAACACTAAAGAGGAGATTCGTGCATTGGATAGCAGGTTAAATTAGGGAGCCTCAAAGGTCCTTTCCAATCCTAAAGTCCATGAACGTGCTCTTTGTCAAGCATTACAGAAATGCAAAATAGTTTTATTCACTTGATGCAAAAAAGAATTTAATTTGTGCTATTTAAATCCTGAAAGGAAATATGCAGGAGTGCTAAATATAAATGAGATCTGAATATTAATATAACTGAGTATGTTTTATTGCTGAATAGGAGTTGCTTGGGACGTCCTCTTTCCTCCTCCCCATACATCCCCCTTCCCAAAGGTCAAGAACTTCAGTATTGTTTTATTCCTTTTTCATTTGCCCTTTTTCTCCAATTGCAAGTGCTCTGCAATTGATTTCTCTGCTTGTGTTCCTCAAAACTGTTTATATACAGTTCCTCATAACTATTTATATAAATCAAAAAGCTTTCTCCCCCCACAGCACAGGTTCTTCTGATTGTGGGTGTCACCCACATAGCGTTGAAACAGAACAAGAGAGCGCTGTCTTTAGCTGGTGGCTGGTGGGCGTCTAGCTCACACTGCAGCTCAAGCCTAGGAATGGTGGGGCCTAACCTTGGTTAGAGGAGGTTCCTTGTCCTTAGGAATGGTAGTCGCTACCCTGCCTCCCTCTCTTAAATTGGATCTCAGTTTGGGTTTTCTCATTTTGGCTGAAGCTTCACAGTAGAAAGGAAGGGAGTACACACACTATCTTTTTCCCTGGATGTCTCAGCCAGCCAACCAGACGTTTTTAGGCTGACCAGGGAGATAGAGTAAAACAGACTTGAGAAGCCCTCAGTGAACAATCTGAGGAAAGCCGGTGTTTGGTACAGCAATACAGAATGAATGTGTACGCAGGTAAAACGCATACTGCAAAATTCAAGCTAGTAGCGTTTCTGCAGAACTGGCAAACACTGGCAAAAATCTCCGGAGACAAGCAATACAGAAAACCAAAAGACTGCAACGAAACCATTAACCGAAAAGGGGAAAGGTTGAGCCCAGCCATTTAAAAAGCTCGGTGCTGTCACGTGACTATCCCGACCTCCGCCGTCTTCAGAACGCGGCGTAGCTACGCCACTTCCGTCCAGGCCAGAATCCAAGATGGCGGCGCTCTTGTTGAGGTGACTTTATCTTGGGGCTGGGAGTCGGTACCCGCGACACTGGGAGACTTAATCCCTCATGTCTTGCCGATAACGTTTTATCCTGTGCTCCGGCAAGTAAAGGACCCGTGGGTGTGTAGGCCACACGCTCTGGAATCCTTGGAGCCCCTCCCCTCCCCCTCCAGCCGCTGCCGTGCAACTCCGTCTGGCTTCGAGGTCACTTGTTCCGTACCCTGGAGTGGCGCAGCTGTCAACTTTTCTGCTTCTACCCCAAATTGCTCATGTGGTCGCACCCGGAGCCGAGCCCTATAAAAATTGTTTTAACCTCGAGGTTAGCTGACCATGGGTCTTGCAATTTGGAGGTCATTCTTAGGGGGGGTGGGCCGGTGGGGCTGGGGCTGGAGGAATGTCTTCGGTGTGCTTTGTTTTTGCTTTTTATTACTGCAAACGTTAGCTACTGCTAGCAGTGTGTGGGCCCTGTCCAGGTCCCTGACCGGCCACTGGCAAAGGTGAAGGAAATCTGGATTCCTACCATTTCAGCTGTTAGTAGTCCTTTGCTGCAGCCCAGTTAATTCATTTTTATCTTTTTACCTGAAAATAGCCACGGAATGGATATTCCGGCTTTTCTCTAAAAGGTCAATTCACTGTCCAGAGAAATAGCGTAGATTTCGTTCTCTTCTGAACTCTCCACTGTCTAGTTCTTTCTCGACTCAGCCTTTCTAGTCCTTGAGACTAGCGCCTTTTGACACTCCTGGTACACATCCCAGCATAGTTTTGTGCCAGCCCTATTTTTGGAAACTATTTGTTATGGAAAGTTAGGCGCAGTGCTGTTGAGATTTCAATCCCCAATTTCTCTAAATGTCTTCTCATTTGTCTTCCCAGTTTAGTCACACAGTATAAAAATAGAGGGACTTTGTTTAGTTTTTCTCTGTGAAAAAAATGATTCCCCTTGGAGTTGAGATCAATTATCTTAATCCTTCATTTTCTCCTCCCCTTTCATCTTTATATAAATATACCCATGTATTTTTTTATGAGATGCACAAAGACCATTGATGCCAGACCTGCTTCCTTTAATTCCGGATGATTTTATAATTGAATGCTTTTCAATTCTTTGACTTCTATTTAATAGATATTAGGGCTTTTGGAGGAACTAACATTTAGCTGCTTGACATGTGTTCTTTTTCCCTTTTCCTTTTTTTTTTTTTTTTGCCGGGGTGGGATACTGGGGATTGAACACAAGGTCTTTGCACTAAGCTCCATCCCAGCCCTTTTTCATTTCTTAAAAATTTTGAAACAAGCTCTCACTACGTTGCACATTTACCTGTGCTGGGCTCAAACTTGTGATCTTGCTTTAGCCTCTCATTGCTGGACTTACAGGTGTATGCCACTGTGCTTGGTTAATAGTTTGTTTTGAGTATAAGAATTAGTGGTTAGAAGATGAAGATCATTGTATAATTTCCCCTCTCATCCATGGGTTTCTTATGCATGGATTCACAACTTCAGGTGGAAATACTTGAAAAACAAATTTTCCAGAAAGCTCCAAAAAGCAAAACTTGAATTTACCAACAGCTAAGCATTACACTGAATCCAGGTGAATAAAAGGATATGTAGGCATATGCTGATGTAGTCTCCCACCATTTCACAGATCCTTAGTCTCCAGCACATATTGTTGGAGAATTGTTTACTTCAGTTAATTTGTGTATTGTGTAGTTAGACCTATAATTTAGTTGGTTGTATCCGCACTGTACATATACAGACTTTTCCCCCTTGTCATGATATGAATAATATGGTATAACAATTATTTACAAGCATGCTTACATTGTACTGAGTATTGTAAACTGCCAATAATTAAAGTATATGTGTGATTAAAAAATACAGTGGATGTCAAAATTTGTTACACATTACCATTAATCCCTCTCAGAATATTTCCTCTCACTTTAACCACACTTATTCCAGTGTTTTTGCCGCTTTCTGAAGCAGTTCCAGAAGTCCTTTGTATCTTTAGTTGCAGTGTCATGGCTGCCTTGACAACCTGACTTGATTAAAAACATTGACCTTTCATGATCATTTTGACTTTAGGGAAGAACCAGAAGTTTCACAATGATAGGGCTACACAGTAATATTTTTATGAGTGTTGCTTTGCATCAGATGGCACTCAGGAGCAGCATTCACTGTATTTGTGTGGGGGGGTACTGGGGATTGAACTCAGGCCCTTGTGCTTGACAGGCAGGTGGTGGAACCACTGAGCCAAATCCCCCGCCCTACTGTATTTTTGATAATATATCAAGACACAAAAGAGGACTTCCAGAACTGCTTTAGAAAGTGGCAAGAACAGTGGGATAAGTGTGTTTGAAGTGAAGGGGAATACTTTGAAGGGGATTACATGGCAATGTGCCTTTTACAGTAACAAATTTTTAACAAATTTAAACATTTTTAAAGTTAGCCTTTGTATGCAAACACTATTTTATAGAAGGGATTTAAGCATCCATGGATTTTGGTATCTGCTGGGGTCCTGGGACTAATCCTTTATGGCCACAGCCATTAAGTGTATCCAGATATTATCTTGATTTGTGTAGCACTGTCCATGCCAGGATTCAGTGCCAAGAAAAGATTTCTTTTCTTTTAATGGTAATCTAAAGTTCTCACGGGAAGGGCCTCTTTCTCACAAGGACTTTTTTAGAAATACCTTCTAAGAAGTGTAGTTTTAGTAATGTCACTAATTCCATTTATTTTGGATGAGTCGTGGTCATTGATTCTATGAATGTGATTTCTTTCTTTGTGGATTCAAAATAATAACTAGGCCCACTTAAGAGAAATACTGAGCTTCTATAGAGTGTATTTAATTTTAATGGACAAAAATTGTATATTATTTACTGAGTACAACATGATGTTTCAAAATATGTATACATTGTATTAAATGTAACTAATCAATGTCTGTGTCCCCCCATACTTATTTTTTTGGTGTGGTGAGAACATTTGCAATCTACCCTGCCGTTTTTCTTTTTTCTTTTTCTTTTTTTTTTTGAGACAGCGTCTCACTATGTAGTTGAAACTGACCTGGAACTTACTATGTAGCCCAGGCTGGTCTCGAACTCACAGTGATCCTTCTGCCTCAGTTTCCTGAGTGCTGGGATTACAGTCATGAGCCACCATGCCTGGCCATTACCCTCCAGTTTTTCAGTATGTAATATTGTTTCACTATTATAAAATATTGCACAATGTATATACACTGAAACATCACATAGTATCCCATTAATACATATAATTTTATGATTTATATATTCATTAAAAAATAAAAATCACCATGTTGTAGATGGAGCTCTAGAACTCTCTGCTGGCATGTAGCTTGAGGCTAACATCTCCTAAAACTACCCTTCCAGTTAGATACTTTTAATGATCTGCTAATTAAAAATTCTTAGTTATCAGGGTATTGTATATCATGGCTTTTGATTTTTTTTTCTTTCTGTACCAGTGATTGAATTCAGGACCTTATCCTTGTTAGGCAGGTACAGTGCCACTGAGCTAAATCCCTGCACACCCCCCCCCCTTTTTTTTTTTTTGAGATGAGATCTTGCTGTGTAGTTCAGCCTGGCCTTGAACTCGCTATGTAGCTCAGGCTGGCTTTGAACTCAGGGCAAGCCTCCTACCTCAGTCTCCTGAGTGCTGGGATTATAGGCATGTGCCATCATGCCCTACTTGAATAGTGCTCTGCATTTTGTATGTTCCTAAGACAGCTCAGGGACCAGCCAGGGAAAAACAGCAGCCAATTTACAAACTTCCTTGGTGTTCAATCAAGGAATGACTTGCCAAAGTCAAGAAGGAGTAGATAACTAAGTGAAGGACAGCTGGGCTTCTGTCTAATATATGTGCTGTTTTAAGCACAAAATCACCAACCGTCAGCTATCTTATAATAATATAAAGTATTAAATATATGAAATGCCTCTAAAAAGTGAGGTTTACCTCTTAATAAGACTACTTTTTATTTTTAAAATAAACTTGGAGGGGGATTTAGCTCAGTGGTGCTACCGCCTGCCTCATAAGCACAAGGTCCGGAGTTTGATCTCCAGTACCAAAAATAAAATAAACTCAGAGGTAGAGTCTTACTGGACATGCATGAGGCTTTGGGTTTGATCCCCAACACCAAAACAAAACAAAAGCCCATATGTACTGAGCTTAGTGGCACACGCCTGTAATCCCAGCATTTGGGGGGCTAAGGCAGGAGGATCATTGAGAGTTCAAGGTTGGCTTGACTTACATAGTGAGACCCTGTCTCAAAAAACAAAATAACCCGTACTCATTCATGATCATTTTTGAGCCTCTTCTACATGTCAGACATTAATATAGGCATTATAAATGCAGTGTTCTAGTCCTGTCCTTGAGCTCAAAGTCTAGCAGGACAGATAACTAAATGAATTATTAAACAATGAACTAACTGTTGGTAGATACAAACGTGGTGGGGAAGTGTGGCAGACACAGTAAGTAATACTGAGAAAAATGGAGATTTTGCCATCAGGATTTGGGTTTTGAAGGATGAACATTTCCCCTTGATAGAGTTTCCATCAGAACATTGAGCAAAGACATGTAAATTCATGCCTTTCTGTATACAAATGATTCCTTTTCAGAATGTCACTCAAGGTTATATATCTAATTTATTCTGGCTGCTACTCATATACATATGAAACTTTTGGGAAGCTGTCAGTCAAGTTTAGAGGTCATGTAAGAGAAACTCACTTAAAGTAGTATCTTGTTTTGGATTGAAAAGTAGTGTTCAATTTGGTCTCAGACTTGGCTTTGGATAACTTTTTTTCTCATAAGTCAAATCCATTTTCAGCAAATGAATGTTTTTGTCGTCACTGAGGATTTTAAGAAGAATGTGATGTGATTTCTAAAAATCTTAGGGAGACCAATGAAATAATGTCTTACATGTAATGTGTCCTGTGCATTTTTTCCCTATACCAATTAAGGTATATCTTACCAGTCTCATTTTATAAATGGAAAAGTTGAAGTTCACTGGCTCCCTGAAGTTATACAACTCATGCAGATCTAAGACTTCGCTCTGGCATTTCGACTTTCCAGTGTTCTTTCCTAGTGCTGTTGCTGCCTTAGTCCAGAGAAGTTTCAAAAATGATTTGATCAGTTAAATGGGAATTTATAAGGCATTTTGAAAGACACAACACTAAAATTAACGAAAAAGAAAGACAGTGCTAACTGGAAATTATAGATTCTGACTTAATAAAAAAGATGAAAGGAGATGGGAGAGCAGGTAGGAAAAAAATAAGTAACTCCTACTCTAAATACAACAAATGGAAGTCTGTGCAGTGACACACACCTGTAATCCAAAAACTCAGGAGGCTGAGGGAGGATTGTGAGAGTTTGAGGCCAGCTTGGGGTATACAAAGAGTTGAAGGCCACCCTGTTTGGACTACACAGTGAGACTGTTCTCAAACTATGAAGTATTATTACTTTCTAGCTATAACATTTTAAATACTATTCCTTAGTGAAAAAATTAAATCTCAAGAGTTCCTGGTTTCATGTGAAAGAAAAGGTTAGATATTTCATTTTGTCATATTTCAAATAAAGTTATAAAATTTGTGCAGCTCATTTCTGTGAGGGCCTGTGGAAAGCTTACATTGGTATTTGTTTGGAAAACAATAGCACTAGACAGAATTTGCCATAGATTCCAACCCACATCTACAAACTCTTGCTGGGTAGCCGAGTAACTGGGCCTAGCCTGGTGTGAGGAATGCATCCCCTGCAACTTCAGAGACAATTCAGTTGATTTAAAGAGACTTGTTCCCACTTCTTTTTGGGAGTCTTGGGTATACAATGTCTGTATTCACCTCTTGCCTTCAAAGCTGGGAAGAAGGAAGAAGTGGATTCTAAAGGCAGTGTTGGTTGGATTTTTCCTTTCAAATAGTGGGGGCCTTTTAGTGTACTACTGTAAGGCGTAAGACTCTTGAAACATTTGTATATCTAGTATCAGTGGTATGAGGGATATCATGAGATTGCTTGTTTGTTTATTATTTTGGTTTTTTGAGACAGAGTCTTGATATGTAGTTCAAGCTGGCCTTGAGCTCACTATGTAGCCCAAGCTGGCCTAGAACTTGCAGGGATCCTCCTGCCTCTGCCTCCCAAGTACTAGGATTACAGGCATGTACCACAACCAGCTCATGAGCTCTTTTAGAAGATAGTTAGAACTACATGAGATTTGTATCCTGTAATACTTCATTGATATATAATGGGTATACAATAAACTTGTAGAATCATATTTTTACTTTTAGACCATCACTGATTTGTTGATTTTAGAAAGCTCTGATGTAATGATATGATTAAAGAGTATAATGGCTTTTGTTTTTCCTAATACTATATAAACTTTGGATCAGTTGGATTGTCCCTAATAAAATGCCTAGTCACATGCACATGTTTCTTTTTGACTTGAAAAAAACAATTCTGCTTGGGAGGCTGAGGCAGGAGAATTGCTATGAGTTTGAGGCCAGCCTGGACTACATAGTTCAAGGCCAGCCTGACCTTGTGAGACAGTGAGACCTTGTCTCAAAAACGCCCCCAAAATTTAAAAAAAAAAAGGAAAGCAGTTCTGGTAGTATGCATACATGTGAAAAATAGCAACTTTTAAGTAGAAAATTTATATATCCTCTTTACATACTTTTTCATGGGATACCTCTTCTAAAAAAACTTCAAAAAATTATATTTGCATTCTCATATTTTTGGTACTATTATATCAGACTTTTTGACTTGAAGTTTATCCAGGTTGGTGGTTCCTGAAATGACCTTAGTATTATGATCTTTCTTCCTCAGAACCCATATTTTTCATATTTTAATCTATTTACAACAAGTCTCTGGTATAACTAACCTATATGTTTGCTGTTGTCAGTGGTTCACTCTAATTTTTGTTTGTTTTGGGTTTTTTGTTTTGTTTTGGCATTAATGGAAATAAAACCCAAGGCCTCATGCATGCTAAGCAAGCACTTTACACTGAGCTATAGCCAGCCCTCATTTTAAATTGATTCCTATGCCCCTAAGTCCAGTATACTACAAAAATAGAGAAGTTGATGTATTGAAGTTGTCTCTGAGTGTGTATTGATTCTTGCCTCTTGTCTTACAGACATGCTGGCCGACATTGCCTCCGATCCCACCTTAGTCCTCAGCTCTGTATCAGAAGGTAAGTTTCTAAGTCTAGGGATCATTATTATACCTTAGTCCTCAGCTCTGTATCAGAAGGTAAGTTTCTAAGTCTAGGGGTATCATTATTATTATTATTATTATTATTATTATTATTATTATTATTATTATTACTTGTTTTTCCTCAGGGAAAAGCAATAGGTTGTTAATTTAGATTTGGGTGATATGTAAGAAATGGATATGGGCAGTTGTAAACCATTGTCTAAAAATTTAATAATCATTGTCACTAAGTTTTCTGATTTCTTTTCTCTCTTTCTGGTCCTGGGCATTGAACCCAGGGCCTTATACTTGCCAGGTAAGTGCTCTACCACTCAACTACATCTTCCACTATTTTTCTGCCTGGAAGTAGAAAAAGCAAGGATATTTATTTGGTGTTTTAAAATTTTTCCTTTTTCAGCTTTTTTTGTGTTTTCTGTTGCTCCACCAGTTTGCTCTGGTTTCTTCATTCTTACCTTTATATCTAATTCTCTTCTATTTTTTTCTCCTTAATTTTTTTTTTTTCTTATACTCTCTAGATTTAGGCAGTTTCAGAATTTAGGTTTTATTTTGTTTTTATTTTTGTGGTACTGGGGATCAAACTCCAGCCCTTGCTCTTGCAAGGCAGGCTGCAGAACCACTGAGCCAAATCCCCAGCCCATAACTTAGGTTTTAAATATATTTCTTCCTCCTTAATATTCATTCCTACTCTGTTGACCTTAACAATCGACTTTGAGTTTTTTTCTTTAACTTTTTATTTTGGAAATACTTTATGCTTTCAGAAAAATTGTAAGAACAGTATGATAAAATTCTATATACCTTTTACCCAGATTCATCAATTATTAACATTTTGCTGTGTTTGCTTATCACACTATTGGTTGTACCATACAAAATTTGTTTGTTTGTTTTTGGTACTGGGGATCAAACTCAGGACCTTGGCCTTTTGAGACAGGCGTGGCACCACTGAGCTAAATCCCTGGCTCCCCAAAATTGTTGTTTTTGTGGGTCAAATCTGGTTGAATATTTGTGGCTTAGCCTAATATATACTTGTTATTATTATCACTGAATTCTTTGAGAATAGTTTGTGAACATTGTGATCCTTTACTTCTAAATCTCCTAATAAAAGAATCATATAACACAGTATAAATTAAAAGCACATTATCAAGTTTAGAAATTTAACATTGACACTTATCTAATATGTAGTTGATTTTCAGAATTTCTTTGTCCCAGATAATACATTTTATAGAAAATGTGTATTTCCTCCATCCAGAAATCTAATTAGGCTCTCAAATATACTGCTGTCATTTTTCTGTAATTACTATTTATTTGTATATTTGGGTTTTTGCTGTTAAGGATTGAACCAAGACCTTTACACTGAGCTGAGATATATTTCCCAGCTCTCTTTAAAACTTTTTTTTTTTCTACTGGGGATTTAGCTCAGTGGCATCATGCCTGCTTTGCAAGTGCAAGGTCCTGAGGTCGATCCCTGCTACCAAAAAAAAAAAAACAAAAACAAAAAACCTTTTTTAAAGACAGAGTCTTACTAAATTGCCCAGGCTGGGTTTAAATTTGTGCTCCTCTTGCCTCAGCCTCCCAGAATGCTAGGATTACAGATATGTGTTACCTTGCCTGGCTCTGCTTTTTAATCTGGTACTACATATTAGCCTATCTTTGTCTTTTGGGACACTGACATTTTTGATGAATATAAGCCAATTGTTTTGTAGTATTTCACAAGTTGAGTTTGTGGATTGTTTTCTAATGATTAGAAATGTTATTACAGTACATCATATCAGGAGCCAAATAATACTCTTTGTCTCATTATTAATTTGTTTTATTTTTTTGTACCAGGGATCAAACTCATGACCTTGTACTTGCAAGGCAAATGCAGCATCACTGAGCTAAATCCCAGGCACTTACTTTTGGGTTTTTTTTTTGTTGTTGTTTGTTTGTTTGTTTGTTTTGAGACAGGGTCTCACAGTATAGTTGAGACTGACCTGGAACTCACTGTGTAGCCCAGGCTGGTCTGGAACTCACAGCGATTCTCTTGCCTCAGCCTCCCGAGTGCTGGGATTATAGGCGTGCGCCACTACGCCCGGCTGCTTTTGTTTTTTTGAGATAGGGTCTCACTGTGTAATTCAGGATGCCCTTGAACTTGCTGTGTAGCCCAGGCAGTCCTGCCTCAGCCTCCTTAGTATTGGGATTATAGGTGTACGTCAGTATAACCCGCTATTTATTAATTATTTTTAACTTTGATCATTTGAATAAGAAAATGCCTGCTAAGTTTTTTTCTACCATAAAGTTACCAAGTCTTCCTTTTGTACTTATGTATTTATTGGTGATGCGCTTCATACATACTAACACTAAGTATGCACTCAGCCCCTGAGCTGCCTTACCCTGGAGATATTTTCTTGAGGCGAATGGAATGATGTTTTAGTGGAGTTTATTTTGGTTGTGGTTTTTCCTTCCCTTCCTTCTTTCCTTCCTTCCTTCTTTCCTGTACCACTGACCAACACTCTTAGTTCTGGAATAATGAATACAAGCACAGAATAAATTGTTGAGCATAACTCTGATGGTTGGTTTCAATATGGACTAGAGAAACCAAGAGCTGGGCATAGTGGCACACACCTATAATCCCAGCACTCAGAAGACTGAGGCAGGAGGATGGATCACTTTGCATTCAAGGCCAGCCCAAACTACATAGCAAGTTCCAGACTAGCCTGAACTATGTCATGAGACTCTCCCAAAAAACCAAAAGAAAAGAAAAAAAGAGAAACCAAGGTGCTCTTCAGCAGTACTGAACTGAATGCAGATCAATTTTTTTTTTTTTTTTGGTACTGGGGATCAAACTCCCAACGTTGTGCTCCAGAGGCTAGCATGGTGCCACTGATCTAAATCCCTGACCCTTTTTTAAAATTTTTTATTTTTTATTTTTATTTTTGATACCGGGGATCGAACTTAGGACCTGAGATCTTGACTTCAAAGAACATATTCCGTCCTTAGAAAGACATAAGACTACAGATGGTAATATATGAAAGTACCTGAGACCTGTGTTTGTTCAGCTGGAGTTGGAGGACGGGGAAAGAAAGAAAAAGAAAAAGAAAACAAAACAAATGGAGTTGAAATTTTACACTTGTCCTACAGAAGTTGAGCTTTGATTGTTGGACCTGTGTGTTAGTAAAAATTGGAAGAAAGAATTATCCTCTGATATAATTTCTTGGGGCAATTGAGGGTTTTCCCCCTAAATTATTTTATTTAGTGCTGGGAATCAAACCTAAGGCTTCATGCGTGCCAAGCAAGGACTCTATTACTGAGCCACCCCTGTTGGCAACAGTTGAGGTGTTTTCTTATTTATTTATTTATTTTTGGTATCGAGGATTGAACTCAGGACCTTGTGCTTGCAAGGCAGGCAGCACCACTGAGCTAAATCCCCAGCCCTGTTTTTTTTGTTTTGTTTTTTTAGCAGGATCTCTTTATGTAGTTCAGGCTGGCGTTGATCTCACCAAGTATTACAGGCTGGCCTAATTTAGTGATCTTCTGCCTCCAGCATCCCAAATCCTGGGATTATGGGCATGCACCACCATGTCCAGCCATAGTCAAGGTTATTAATTGAATCAACTCAGCGTAAAGATAAGCGAGTCTTAGGAATGTGTTTGAGTGTGTTTTCCTAAATTGGGAGGTTTGTCTGGCTCACCTTGCCTTAAAAAAAAAAAAAGCCTTTTGTTATATAAAATATTAAACCAAGCTTACTTTTAATTCTTTTAAAACCTGGCTTTATTTTAGTGCTGTGCCTTTGGGAACCACAGCCAAAGAAGAGATGGAGCAGTTCTGGAATAAGAATACAGGTTCAAATCGTCCTGTATCTCCCCATATCACTGTCTACAGGTAAGGGCTTGAATCAGAAGCTGGGGATAGTAGGTTAAAATTCTGGAGTTTGGTCCTCAGCTCCCCTGATAACATATTTCCCTCAACTGGTGAGAAATATTTACTCAACTGGAGTGCAGCTATATAAATGAGTTGACCCATCCAGAGTGGAAGAAGAGAACATAAGTTTATCTCAGGCCCTTTTTATATGGAGATGACTAAATTCTATCTTCTAGATTTAATCTGTTTTGCAAAACTATGATTTATGAAATTTTGACAAGTCAAATGTAATTCCATTAATTAAAAGTTCTTGAAACAATATCAAATTTACATTAAAGTTGCAGAAATAATAGCATTCCCATCTACCTTTATGTAGATTGGCATATTTTTAACATATCTGAATTATTTAAGAACAAATTATAGGGCTGGGATTTAGCTCAGTGATTCCGCTGCCAGACTTGCAAGCATAAGGACCTAAGTTCGATCCCCGGTACCAAAAAAAAAAAAAAAGAAATTATAGCTGGGAATGTAGCTCAGCAGAACAGCACCTGCCTGGCAAGCTCAAGGCCCTGACTTTGATTCCAGGTACCCCTACTACACCTCCTCCCACACCCCCTGCCAAATAACAAATTATAGAAACAATGCCTCATTATTCCCACATAGTTTTCTACTGAGATAGGTTCTTGCCATAATAAATTTTTACAAACTTAATGGCTTAAAAAAAACACAAATGTGTAGTTTTTTTTTTTTTTTTTTTTTTTTTTTTTTTGGTACCAGGGATTGAACTTGGGCCCTTGTGCTTGCAAAGCAGGCGGCAGAATCACTGAGCTAAATCCCTGGCCCTCAAATGTGTAGTCTTAAAGGCCTGTAGTTTAGAAATGTGATGCAAATGTATGAATTGAGGGATTGTCAGGGTTTTTTTTTTTGTTTTTTGTTTTTTTTTTTTTTTTCCCGAGGAGAGTCTCTTTTTGTGTTCT